CGCAACCCCCCCCCCCCCGCTTGCAGGACATTTTCAACCTCGTGTACCTCGCAGAGACGTTCAACTTGCAGCTTGTCGCCGATTATTGGCGTCAAGTTTTGGTGATGAATGAGTGGACCAAATCTTCTTTTTCGCGCACCATCATACGCCACATGTTCTCGACGGTCAGCAACAAAAAGATTGTGAGCGAGCGGGGGAGCACTTTTGGTGAAGCTGCGTCAGAGCATCGGCAGCTAAAGTCCAGTCCGTCTCACTTTTGCTTCTTCTCTTCTTCTCTTTTTCTTGTGCCTTGCGCAGGCGCTTCTCGGGTTCGCATTCAAAAAAGACACGGGCGACACTGTGAGATTGGCGCGGGAAAGGAGAGATGTCGATGAGCAGCTGGCTGCATGCTGATGCTCTTCTCCCCTCTCATCCTGCCTGCGCCTCACCTTTCCCAGCGCGAATCGCCCGCCATCAACATTGCGCGTGACCTTCTGGTCGAGGGAGCAGAACTGTACATCTACGACCCCAAGGTATCGGAGCGCAACATTTGCCAAGCCTTGGGATCCTTTGCCAACCTGCACATCGCGTCGTCCGTGATGCAAGCAGCTCAGCAAGCCTCTGCCATTGTCATTGCGACGGACTGGGACGAGTTCAAGCCGCGCAGCAACAGCAACAGCAACAGCAACAGCAACAGCAACAGCAGCGGCGATAAGAGCACATTGTCGTCGCACATTGACTGGGCAGACATCTACGCTGACATGGCGCGTCCAGCGTTCGTCTTCGATGGCAGAGGCATTCTCGAGGCTGCCACGCTCAGGGACATTGGTTTCAAAGTGCACACCGTCGGGCGAGGCAATGCTGCCGAGACGCTGGGCTAGTCGGCCGCAACATGCGCCTCTCTTCATCGTGTCTCTCTCTCTCTCTCTCTCTCTTTCTCTCGCTCACCTGATCAGTCACGAGTCGCTTGTCACCATCGGTCTGTCTTGTATTTCGAGTCACGCTCCACACTTTGCTTGCTTTGTCTTTGGTTGGTTCGAATAGAATGGAATGACCTTGGCGCCTTGCTGTGATATCCAAAGGTTGAACGAGAGAGTTGGTCAGCCGCTGCCGCGATGGTCAGCCGCTGCCGCGATGGCAAAGTATTGTGCGGCGTTCAAGCGGTCACTCGCTACTGCGACTGCGACTGCGACTGCGACTGCGACTGCGGCAAGCTGAAACGGGACGCGTGCGAGCAGCGCGCATGCAAGAAGCCATGGCGAGGGACAGGTTCATCTGTGGTGCGCGCGGGCTCTGCGCATTCAAAGATTTTCGGGTCCATGCAGCAGCAGTGGTGAGTTTCATGCAGTTGCAGTTGCAGTTCCAGTTGCAGTTCCAGTTCCAGCGAGTATGCAGCGGCTCGGTCGCCGCGCGGACCACGATGCGCCACCCACCAGCTGTGATAGCGCGAATCCGTAAAGCGGAACCCAATATTCACGATTCAGATTCAGATTCAGATTCAGATTCAAATTGCAAGGCGCTGCTGAGTCGAATTACTCAAGTCACAAACTACACTTTGACTTTAAATCGACTTGATCACGACTCTGGTATTTCGCACTCAGACTCGTGGCGTGAATCACGCGATTTGTCGGCAACGTCAAATAGAATCGCCCTTGTTCGAAGGGCGCAGCAGCTTCCACCAGCAGCCCCCGCCGGCACACTTTTCTGATTGACATTTTAGTCTAGTAGTACCGCGACGATTGGAATCACGGCTTGGAGACTTGGGGGGTGCGCTTTGTTGACTCGAAAGGCAAGGGAGTGCCTGCCTGCAACTGCGCAAGGTCATCCACCTCCCGCTGCTGCATTACTCGCGAGTCTGACCTTGACCCTGACTGACGCTGGTCTGCAACCAGCCAGCATGCTGTCTGCTGCATGCCCAGCAAAAAGTTCTGAATGCGAATTCGGGTGACTTGATTGTGAGTGCATGGTGACGTGACTGCGTGCAGCTTATTGCGCGCATCACAGTCGAGTCAAAAGTCCGTCGTACGTGGGTGCCGTGATGCGAGTTCCAGTCAGCCAGTGTGAGTCAAGATTCACAACCCTGATTTGATTCACATTCACGATTCTGAATTCAAATTCTGATTCACGATTCACGATTCACGATTGCAAACTCACTCAATGCAAGGGAGGTGCATGCGCTCCGGATGCACCTGAGATGCACAGCTTGCAGATGCATGCATGCATGCATGCATGCCCAGATGCATATATCGACAGCCCTGCAGATGAAGATGATCTCAGCATTCCCACAACATCCATCATCGTCACAGTCAAAGAGTCAAGGCGCACCCTCGTCTGCGATGCCGCCGAGCCATGCATGCATGCAGCGCCCAGACCTGCTGGCCACGCCAAGACGTACAGCACACCGCGCACCCACGCACCACGCACCGTATCGCTGCACACCGCGCCACTCGATGCTTCTTCTTCTATAGCTGCTGGCCTGCAATTAAGCGCCAGCGTGTGGCAGCACTACCAAAGAGAGCAGCAAGAGCTGACGCTCAACCTTGATTGCGCGCTCGAATCCACTGATTCAGATTCTGCCGACGGGAAAGCCCGACGCGCAGGCACAGTGCTCGGACAAACGTTCACACGCGGCTTTGGTGCCATGCAGCTGATCGGCATGCAGCCGAGTCAGGCTTCGCTTTCCCTCGTCCTTTTCCCTCGTCAGGCCTCGACCGGAGCAGAGCAGAGGCCAAGGTGACGACGTCGGATGCTCGCGGAACGTGCGCAAAATCACACCCCGACTGTGCGAGGATCCAGACCCTGATTGCGCACGGCATCCGCAGAAGTGCAGGCGCCGTCGTCCTTATCTTGGATCGAATGGATCGAAGGGGGAACCGAAGGGGGAATCAAGGAAAAGAAAAGCGAGCTTTGTTGTATTTTGCCCGTCACACTTTCTATGACCGAGACAGTGCTGGATGAGACAGTGACAGTGAGACTGCATGTGTTTGTAGAGCAAACAGTGCTGGCGCCGCAAGCGAGACGATACTGCGTGACGCGATGCAATAGAGTCACGAAATGGCGAGCCACGCATGGGTGCTGCGCGCACGACGGAAGACTGGACGACGGCTGCCCAGCCTTGGGGGGAGAAGTCGGACAAGCTGAGCTCTTGGTCAAACACTCACTACCGAGAGAAGAGAAGATGCGGCAATGGATGGTGTAAGGCGATGGCTGGCATGCTACACCACGCTACTGCGCGCGAGCGGGAGCGCCTGCTCGTCGACCAGGACACTGGTCCAATGCACGCTGAAGCGAGTCTATGCGCGACCAGAACGCTCACTCTGGAGGACGGGCAAAGAGTTGCTTGTGGGCACCTCTGCAAAGTTTGGACACTGACACGCAGCTCAAGAAATTGTGAGAACGTGAAAACTTGTCGATCATAGGATGCTTATTGCGGTAAAAGGATGCGAGACCCATGCACGCGTGACACGACCAACGGCAACCATTGGACGATAGCAGCAGCAGTGACCGCCTGATGCCTAGCCATGCGAGTATCGGGCCACATCTGCAGCACAGACCCTCCCCGAAGTGCGTTCTGATGCAGCCTCCAGCGCTTCTCGGCAGCGCTTCTAGGCACTTGTCGCTGTGCTCACCCGTCGCACCCGCCACCACGTCTAGGTGGCAGCGGGAGCGATGGGCCCCCCCAGATGCTCGCTTGCGTCCCGTTACCACCCTGCTGTTTACAAGAGCGAGCACCTCCACTACGGTGTGGCTGCCATCCCGAGTGGCTGGCAGCTGTCTCTGAAAACATCGCAGAGGACGGGAGGGCTAGCAATGAACTCTTTTCCGCGGTGCAAGACTTGGCTATCCGCGCGCTAAGACAAGTTCAGCCCCAATGGGCCTCGCCCAGATACGCTCGAGTCGAGCGGCTTGGACCTCCAGAAGCAGTCGTGCGTCGCACTGCGTTGGGTCTTCCAGTCGCAGCTCTTTGACATCTTCTTCGCACCGTGTCATAGCCGATTATCCGCGTGCTTTCCCGTCAGCCACATTAGTCTCGCTCCTCGCCTGCCCGTTCGGTGTCACGGGATGGAGTGGCGCTCGTCATGAACATTGCGCGCGCGATTACAGCAGTGCCTATGCCGTGCTCGCCATGACTGCTTTCCGTCCCCTCCTAGCAGCTTCATCCCACGAATTCCCGCTTCGCTCCCGCTTTGCCCGTATCGCTTGCTCAGAATGCGCTCGTGAATGATCTGTGCAAATCTGGGGGCGCTTCCTACCCAACAAATTGCTTTCTCGCACTTTCGCGAGCGAGATCTTGGGTGATGCTGCTGCTGTCATACGAGTGGTACGAGTGGCTGGCGGAGCCGGGTTGAGGTGCCAGTGTATTTAAGCACGACGTCCCATGGCCAACATCCTTTGCAGCCGAGCTTTGCAACCTCGGCAAGTGATCTCTTCGCAATCTTCGCCTCCCCTCACCTTGCGCTCCCCCCCCCGCTCTCTCTCCCTACAATGCCAACTATCCTTCCCGCCGACGCGGCCGCGTCCGCTGGCCATACTCAACAAGCGCCTTCCCTGACTCCAGCTCAGCTCGAGCGCTCTCTGCAGGAGAAGATCGCCGAACATGTCTTGTCGACGCTGACCAGACCTGCTCTGGCTCACATCCAGAACGGCAAGACTGACCGTTCAGCGTCCGACACATCGCTCGTCTTGTCCACGTCGGCTAGCTCCGTCGGCACATCACTCAGAAGCGATTCGCCCACCACACCCGCATCACAGCGCAGCACAAGGCCAGGCACGCCCGGAGAGCACGAAGACAAGCAGCTGCAAGGTGCTGATGTGCGCGCCATCGACTTGCTCCCAATTTTGGAGCTTTACGCGTCGAGACCTGATCTGCCCCGCGTTCCAAGCCGTAGCTCGAGCATTGAAGCTCAAAATGAGCACGACGAGGAGGAAGGGGCAGAGAGCGCGCATGTCAGCGTTGCCGTGAAAGTCGAAGAAGAGCAGTCTGTGGATAGCGTCGTGCCCAATTCTGTGACCGACTCTTCGCAGCCCTTGAAGGTGAGTGGATGGACCAGGCACTGCTTGATTGGTACATGACGGCTTGATCGCACCGAGACTGACGCCCTCGACCCGTCACAGGTGCCTGCACAGCTACCCACTCCGGATGGCAGGGTCGCATCTCCCGAAAGCAATGTGGAGTCCAGGGAAGCTAGTGCCCATGCCAGCAGTACATCTTCTTCCGATCTTTCCCTCTCCGTCGAGGGTTTGGACAAGAAAGCTGGTCCATCCGAGCCGGCAACGTTTTGGAATCGACACAAGATCAGCGTGCAAGCCTTCTTTCGTCGGCATTATTACATCCAAGGCGAGCCTGACATCGTCCTGCCAAGCCCACCGTCCGACCACAAAAAGCTGGACTTTGTACAGACTTTTCGACCGCTGCTCGTCGGTGTGGGTGTCTTTGCCTTTCTTGCCAACTCCACTGGAATCTGGTTCTTTGCCACCGCTGCTCCACCGTTCTTTTGGTACTCTGTCATCGCCGCCTTTCTTCAAGTCTACCTGGGTCTGTTTTACTTGATGGGCTGCTTTAGTCGGAATTTTGACCACAAGAATCACGAGCGCGTCAAGTCCGAATTTGCCGTCAACGAAGTGAACGCGCCAACCGTCGACGTCTATCTTCCTTGCTGCAACGAGCCCTTGGAGGTTTTAGAAAACACTTACAAATATGCCAAGCAGCTCGAATATCCGGCTGGCAAGCTGCAGGTGCACGTCCTCGACGACGGCTCAGCTCCAGAGGTGAAGCAGATGGCCGAGTCGTACGGCTTCAACCACATTGTGCGCGACGATCGCGGCAGGTTGAAAAAGGCGGGCAACCTGCGCTGGGCCTTCCAGCGTACTAGCGGCGACTTTTTTGTCATCTTTGACGCCGACTTTTGCCCGCGCACCGATTTCCTGACCAAACTCATTCCGCGTATGATGGAAGACAAGAACATTGCAATCATTCAGACGCCTCAATACTTTAGGTCTCTCGGCTCTCAAACCTGGGTGGAACGTGGAGCTGGTGCGGTTCAGGAACTTTTCTACCAATTCATTCAAACCAACAGAGACAAATGGGGCGGTGCCATTTGCGTCGGAAGCAATGCCGTTTACCGTCGTGAAGCGCTTGCCGACGTCGGAGGAACGGCGGAGGTAGGCGCTTCCGAAGATGTTCACACTGGCTTTTACGCCGTTACGCGAGGCTGGAGGTTGGCCTACATTCCCATCAATCTGGCTTGCGGCATCTGCCCCGACACGCCGCGCGCGTACTTTTCTCAGCAAGTCAGATGGTGTCAAGGCTCCACATCGCTCCTGCTCAACAAACACTTTTGGGTCTCGCCGCTCACCAAGATGCAGAAAATGTGCTACCTGAGCGGCATGATGTACTACTCCGCCACTGCCATGGGCATCATCTCCTCGCCGCTTCCCGGTCTGCTCTTGGTGCTGTTCCGCGTAGAGCTCATCAAGATCTACAATCTCGCTTTCGCCCTGCCAGTCATCGTATACGGCATCGTCGTCTTTAGACTTTGGAGCAGGACGGCGCACTCGCTCAGCGTCCAAAAGATTGGCATCATTCAGCAGTACGCCTACTTTTCTGCGCTCAAAGACCGTGTCTTGGGAACCTCGTTCGACTGGGTGCCCTCGGGTGGCAACTCGACAAAGCACCGCTCCACTCGGTATCGCAACATGCGCTTCATGTGCATCACGTGGGTCACCACCTACCAGTCTGCTTTTTTCGGCGTCATCATCTGGAGGCTGCTTCAGGGCTACACGTGGTGGTACTTTGTGCCCTTGTGAGTAAGCGCGCAGCCGTTTGGTGCAGTCAAGTCGCTGAAATAGAATTGACGTTGCCCTTCTGCTTTGCACGCACAGAATGGTACTGAGCGCATACAATCTCTTCATTGCCCTTCCTTTCATGCTCTCCGCGTGATCGCCGCGATCGACCGAGATCCTACTTTCATTTGCAGCCCGTTTCCTGCAGTCATCTGCTTGGCTTTGTTGTTACCGGTTCTGTCTGTCTTATCGTCACGCACGTCACCTGTCCCCTTTGCCTGCGTATCGCGCTCCCGGCTCGACCAGCGCGTCACGATTACCCCATCCTATCCATAGATGCCGTTTGTGCGCCGGAACAGAAATCGATGCGATTCACGACAGTCATTTGTGAGCCCGAAAAGAGATCGATGCTATCCTGCCACACGACTGTTTGTGTCGCTGCAGAGTCATGGCGGTGCATTTACCCGAGCAGCGATAAGAGCAGCGAGCGGCAGCGAGCAAACCCTTCACTTTGGCCAGCCTTGTGAAAGCGATGTCAGCTCAGTGGACATGCGTCTCACTGGCGATCACGCAATCACGCAACCTGCCACCGAACTGAGTCTTAGTGGCGGACCTTCAAGTCGAGAGCTTCCGCTGCGACGAAGGTGACAGCTGCAAGCCTCTCCCGTGCGTGCGTGCGTGCGTGCGTGCGTGCGTGCGAGCGAGCGGGATGGGATGCGGGTCCGGGACGGGGCGGGCAAGCCACGATACACGAAGCGGGAGCAGGCGCGCTATACAAAGGCCGGAAACCGCAAAGCTGCTCGGCGCCATCTGAACTTTCTGGAGGTGTCTTGCTGCTCTGACTTGTTGAGGGGCGTGCAGCGGTGTCACCGAGACATTGAGCTGTCCAGCATGCGCGCGGGATAAAGACGAGCAGTCGTAACGACCTCGTAGATTACTTTGCCTTCACTTCTCAGCGTACAGCTTTGTGACTCTGACCCCTTGTGCTCTTCTCATCAATCTCATCGCGCGGTCACCCTTACAATGTCAGACAAGATGGATCGAGGGGTAAGCGTTAGGAGTTTGGCAGTGCTTGATGCGAGATGCGCCCGACTGATCGTACACGTGCTCCACCTCCAGATCACACGCTTCGACGCGGACGTCGAGATGATCGCCCGCCTTGACGGGGTATTGCCGCCTCGAACACGAGCGAGACGAGCCAGACGCAATGCGCAGTGCGCGGTCGTCCAGTCAGCGCTTACAAGGAGCCGCAAGACGCTCACGCCTACGTCTGCACTCCAGCTCGCCCAACGATGCCATTTCGAGCTCACAATGGCATATCAACTGCATACAGCTCTGCGCCACGAGCCATTCGAGAATGCTACACACTATGCGCGAGGTGATGTTCATTATTGCCAGAAACTGAATCACCAAGCGCAAAGGAGGAGCAGCCTACGCGTGGAAATTGCTAGCAAGAGCGAAACAAACGCGATCAAGAGCTGCACCACTCAAATGAGACTGGAAACGAGACATGGCGGCCAGCTGCATGCCAGATACGGGCACCATCGACGAGCATATCAGCTGTGAAATTGGCCGGTAGCCGGTTTGTTGCTGTAGAAAGGCTGTTATCTGCGCTGCAGCAACGGTTTGGGCAGCACGCTCGATACAAACTCCAAGCGGAAGACTGTTTGCGCGATCTTGATGAGCGCTCCTCAACCCATTGTAATCTACCATCTCGTGTTCTGCGTGTACATGTACAGTTTTCACCTGTCTGAAGAATCTTAGAGACTCGACGCATGACGCGCTGTGTCTCCTTCCGCTCGCTTTATGTTTCCTCAACAAGAGGTACGACAGCACGGAATGACCGTGTGTTTCAGCAAGTGTGGTTCATAGGTAGCTGCGGGATGCGACAAGAACCATTCAGGACGACTTTGCACTATAAGTATTGCATTTGTGGGCGCGCGATGCGTCTTCAGTCTCAGGCTCACGTTTCACACAACTTGATAGGGGAAACAGTATTCTGTGTCGACGGTCAGGGAAAATGCCGCCCAACCGCTAGCGATTGAAGAGATTCTTCATTGCATGTCGTTGCAATGTCGCGTCCGCTGAAGTGAGACAATCAGGTCAGGAAAGTGTCGCTCGCCGGTATCCGATATGGGCGCCGAAGCGAGTGAGGTTCTGTGCGGCAGACGCTGCTGCGCCTTTGCTAGCCAAGACGCTCTCAAATTCCTCACTGCCTTGCTCAAATCCTTTTGACCAAAACGCGTGTCATACGCAGTTGAGCCCTGCAATACAGACAGACGCGCGTGCCACACATCCAAGATGCACCCTGCTGGTATAAGTCGAGGATTTTACGCCGTAAACTAGGCTGCACTCCGCCAAAAGACGCATGTCTGGACATCTGCAGAGCTGATCTTGACAATTTCACGCTGTAAAAGTGCGCAGACAGATTTCTGCCATACAGATGCGCATTCTGCCATACGGATGGGCGCGCACCCCATACAGACGCGCACACGCCCAACAGCAGTGCAGGCGCGCGCCATGTTTGAAGATCACTTGCGCTCGCTTCAAGTTGGATTTGCGCCCGGCTTGAATTGTGCAGAAAGCAATCAGCAGGGGCGTGCTGGGATGCAAGCAGTTTGTGAGCACAGAGAGAGAGCTTGGCAGGCATACTTTGCAGTCAGTGGTTGAGAGAGCTGTAAAGTCATGGAGCAAAATAGAGTTGCAAGAATGATAGTGCAAGTAGGCAAGGCTGCAGAACAGTCAAA